TTATTTTGTGTTGCTTCGTCTCTACACGTTAAAATGTAAAGTGTAGAACACTTTATACATTTCAAAAGCTTTCTACTTAACTATCATATGTTCCTATGTAAAAAAGGAATTTTAGGTTGTTAATTTTTAATGTGACTACATGAGATAATGCTAAATCCATTAGTTCCATTAAAATTCCTTCCTGGTTCAAATACGCAGGCTAACAGAGGATATAATCAAACTACTGTTCCCTTGAAAGAGAGGCCATGGTTAATATAAAAGACATATACTTGATTTATGTCAAGTGGTAACACAGGTAATGCTTTGCATACTCAGCATAAAACACATTAATGGAATAGTATTGCTCCAAATATACCACACCAAAATTAAACTGAAAATAGAAGAAGACAACTAAATCATGGCTGACAGGGAGCTAAATGCAGCAAGTTAAAATGCATTCTTAATGCTGCTCATCCAGTTCTGGCTGAACCCCCTGGGTCAGTTTGGGTCATTATTAGTTTGGAGTAATTCCAAATGATTCCCTGGAGTTCTACTGTTATACTCTGGCTTTAGAAAATTCAGAAGAGGTCTTATGTCACAAAAAATCATAGGACCTCCTATTAGTTTCTAGCTTTCAGTTGGAGTCATCTTTTGTTTGTTACATAAATAACCTTATAGGACTTTCTTAACCTGTTCTACTCATTGTCTCCCAACTACTCATCTTCTTTTGACTTAGTCTTGTTCTTTAAAGCAAGTCATGTTCCTGACTTTCTCTTGGCCAAAAATCCTTTCTCCCTCTTCCTTTGTTTTGTTAATTCCTATTGACCTTTCAAATAACTATTTACTTCTTTATCTTCTGTCTCTCCAGGCCTCTCTCCCTCAGCCATTATAAGTGAAGTTTATGAGAGCAGGGGTCTTGCTACAACCTCAGCATCAAGAATAGTGCCTGGCACATACAAGGTACCCAATAAATATTTGAATATATCCTCCAGCACTGAGCACAATGTTACTTCCTTGACCTTCTCACATTAGTGACATCAATTTTATTTTCTCAAAGCACCCTACACTTTTCTCCTAGGCCTCAGAAAAGATACAGTGCAATCTTCTAAAAACAGTTCAAAGCAACATTGGTACAAAGGCAGAAACACTGAAATCTTTCAGATTTCACAAAAGCATTTCTGAAACAACCCCCCATCACCACCACCCTCTTTCCTTGCCTGCTATTAATTAACTCAGACATTCTCTCACACCTCTTGAATTTTAGACAGATATCTAAGAACAAATTGTAATGGTTGGGGTGGGGTGTCGATATTTAACCTGAAATCAAAATACACTGAGAAACAAAGCAATTCAACCAATTCTTTCTAGCTCTATTACATTTGTAACTACAGATAGCAAGATAACAGATATTTTCTTTTCCATGGCTAGCCTAGTGAATACTTTACAGAAAGACATCATATCAGCGACTTAAAAAACCTGACAAAATGATATTAAGGCATGTTTCCCATATGCAGAATGCTTACACTGACTTGACTTTTTTCAGCATACAAATAAAATAGCACATGCACAAAGTACCAAAGGTATTTCAAAGACACAGGTAATGCAATGAGCTGCATTTACAAATACATCCCATGCTCTCTCTTCTCCCAAGCAATATGGTTGCTTCAACGTTCTTGGGGAATAGTGATGAAGGCATTTATGATTCTGGCTCTTTTAGGTAAGATACATAATTTAGCAGTAATGTTAACAATGCATGTATTATCCATTAGTAGAGTGATTTTGCGGTGCTTTATCCTTTGTAATTCTGTAAGTATTTAAATGCCCAAGGTAAAGTTTTGTTTTAAAAGTTAAAAAACAAAAACAAATCAGAAAGTTAAAGAACACATTTATATTTCCAAAATTATTTTTCCATAAATCTATTTTTCAATGTTCATGTTTCTACATAGTGAAATGATTAATGTTGGTTTAAAAAAATCTCTTGCATTTTCAAAGTCAACAATGATGACTTTGCCAAACACATACTTACACA